GGCTGTAACAGCAACAAACTCTTCCAGTCACAGCAGGACTTATTTGCAACTCCAGGTATTTCTGCTCATCAGCTAAGAAACTCAAAAGCAAACCAGAAATTCTGGAATTTTTCTTTCCTGGCTCTGCCTTTGGCCTGGTGGTAGCACTGGGCCAGTCCCCTCCATCCCCAGAGCTTTGCTTCCTTTTCTGTTCAAACAAGGACAGAGATAGATGTTCCACACAAAGAGAAAATAAGACAAAATTTATAAATGTAAAGGTTTTTAAGGAAACGCTGTATTAGAGGAGGGAAAAAACTGATTACCACCAAATGGGGCTTCAAGCAACCTCCACATACAGGAGAGTCACCACAGTCCTGACTCCTAAGAAGTACTTCCCAGAAATGTTACCCCCTTGCTGTTGGCACAGATGTTCAGAGACTCTTGCAGATGATTTTGGACTTCTCATCAATGAAATCATCTGAGATATATTTAAATATCAGGAATGAAAAAAAGGAACTCTATATGAAGTGTTTAATATCTGGTGACTAATTGACTTTGCAGGGGAAGATCTTCCCAGCGCTTGACTTGCAGAGAAAGGACAAGATAAGCACTAAGGGTTTTCCATCAGGAACATATTTTATGGGTGGTTTCTAGCTTTCTTTTTCTGATCTTTTGCAATTACCAAAACATAACGTAACTACATAGGAATAGAATATGTCATTTTTACATGGACACACACTGAAGAGGAATTCTCATGAAACATTTTCATGAGTTTAAGCAACAGGCATAATACTGTACATTTGTTTGATCAAAGATGAAGGAAGCTTTTATCAAAGTAAATTATTGCTTCAATTCCAGTTTTCTTTATTCCTAATAGTCTAAGTCTGTTGGATCCAGAGATGTCTTCAGGATTGAATCTAGGAAAGATTATTAGCTGCCTCTAAAATGTAGGGGACACTGGAAAGCAATTTTAAGCCCACTCAAAATCCATGGGAACCTAATAAACAGCAGTGATATTTAACTGGCATTTCCAAGCTGAGAGGCAGAACCATTGCATTTGTTAGTCTTCAGTCTCATTCCCTCATCATGGTTTAGTGCAAAACACTGGATGCAGCAAAAACTTGTCAAATATCACAGGGATCAAAAAGGTGAATTAATTTACTGAAAGGAAAACATTCCCATTCAGTAGTGGAAGTTCAAACTTCCACACGGGCCATGGACACACAGCGCATGGATAAAATACTCCCCAAAATCACCAGCTGGTCTAAAACTCCCTGAATGCTGGGGAACATCTATTTGGAGTATTATATCCATGTTACTGATGATGTAAGTGTGCATAGGTTAGACAGATAAGCAGACAGGGCACTAGAAAGGAACACTGCTGCAAACAGCATCCTGATGCAGATTTAATTAGGAGTGCAGACAAATTATTATTGTATGACATTTGCAAGAGTTGTTGAAGATCAGAAACTCACAAAATTGGCTTCTCCTAAACAGCCCAGGTCCAGTGACTTTAGAAACAGATAATATCCCACATCCACAAACTCTTTGTGTTTCCTAGTTACAATTCTCATGCCATTGATCAAAAATCAGCACTGCCTCTTAAGCATTTTATGTTCACTGACTCGTCCCTCCCCACGGCTGTAGACAAGGGTTCAGAATATGGAAACAACTCCTGGAAGTGACACAACCTTGCTCATTTTCCCCAGAGTCTTAAGAATGGCTGTAGGCACATCACAGGTACTGCTCCTCTTTCCTAGGAGGGACTTAGAGCAGCTGGACTTGGAAAGAAAATAAAACCCAGGACAAATACAAAATCATCCTCTGAAGCCAAGCCGAGTAGGATGGTAGGGGAATGAACTGGAAACATCAAAGATGGGGGACTGCAGTCCCACAGCAACACTCAAGGCTGGAGGGTGGCAGAGGTCACCCTGGCCCCAGGAGCACCTTTATGCAACATTTCCATCCCAACTGCAACCCTAGCACAGGCTTTGACAGAAAAATTATGCTGTGAATGCAAAGTGGGAAAAGGAGTTTCACACAGGAGTGAAGGACTGTGAGTTCCAGTATTAACTGAAGAGAGACATCTGCAAAAAGTTTTAGACAAAAAAAGAAACTGGGACAGTCAACACACATCCTCTTACATTGGAAAATTTCTACCACAGTGCATCTGCTGTCAGTTCTCCTGTATGACACTAATTGAAGTTAGGGTAGGACATTGCCAAAACCCAAATGAATAGGACATTCAAACCCAAATGAGAACAGAGCAAAATATCTCACAAGTGAAAACTGTACTACCTTTCAGAAGGATGGTGGAGCCACACCCAGCACCCAGGGAGGCTTCAGGCAGCTCTGTCTTGTCCCTCAGCCCAGGCTTCTGTGCCCTGCTGCTGCTGCAGTGCCCCTGTGCCCCTGGGCACTCCATGGCTCGTTCCCTTCAATGCTGCTCACCTGTGGGCACAGCTGGGGCCAGTTGGGGATGATTGGGCACAGCCCACCCCAATCACCCCTAACTCTGTGCCTACACCACCTGCAGACTCTCAATTCCTGCTGAAAACAGACAAGGAACTTGATCTTTAAGTTCTGCAAAAAGCAATATTTAGAAGTTATTTTTAAAGTCAGGGTACTCCTAAATTAAAATTGTGACTCTTCCATCCTAAGGTGCTAAATTGATAGGGCAATGGTGCCATCTCTGCAATAACTGCTGCCAACAATTATTTTTTAAAGGCACTAATTCTGGTTTTGGAACCACACAGAAAATTGCTTCCACATCCCTGGTATGAAAACTTTGCCCTACTCAACATGCATCACCATAAATTATCTGGTAAGGGTAAATCTTTTAGAAACCATGAATGGTGTTGCAGGACCAAGTCACTAAACCTGCCATAAGACACTTGAGAGATAACTGAGATGTCAAGCCTCATCAATATCAACATACTTCAAGTAAGGACAAGAGGAGAGGGGAAGAATGGCAATGAATAATCCCATTACGTGATGCTAGATAACACTCAGCTTAGAAACAGATACATCAGTCACAAATATGAATGTCTTTGAATTTCATCAAAAGTATAAGTAACCTTAATTCCTAAAAAAGCTTTTTTCCACAGGAGTGATGACAGAGTTGTAGTCTTTTTTTCCATTTTAACTTTCAAGATACAACCTTTATTTCCTCACTCTAACTAACACACAGGAGATAAAATAATTACTTTGGGCAGCACACAGGAAACACGAGTCAATTATTTTAAAAAAATTAAAATGTTTCTTCCTGACCAGGCAGAGGAAGCAAAGCCTCAAAGGAGGCTTCTGCCAATTTCCAGTGCTATGAATTTGCTCCCTGCGTTATTCTCAGTTACTGGTTGTGTATCTCCCCTAATCAATACATGCGCATACATTCCACAATACTCTCTCATCTTGCATCACAGTAACTGTCCACTCACTTTGAAAGCTGACATTAATCACTATCTTGTTTCCCATTTCCCACCTCCTCCACTCCTCCTTGAGCTATCCACCCCTCACAAAGCAGCATCTCACTTTCTCCATCTGCTTCTTCAACCCTCTCCTCACTCCATCCTCCCCTCTTGCTGGAACACTCCCTGGTCTCTCCAGCGTGGCCCCGCAGTCTCCTCCAAGCATCACTAACACTCTTTCCCTTTTCTGTTCAAAAACAGTCACTACAGTCAGCTTCCTACTCCAGGCCTTCATAGAGGGGAGGGTGTCAAACAAACAAGCCTGAGCTAAATAATCCTGCCTTGCAAACTGTAAAACCCTCTGAAAGGCTGTGTTTCACACTGCTCCTCTTCATTTCACCCCAAATGCCATGGCCAAACTGATCTTTACTTGATGGGATGTTCTGGCCATGTCATTCCACTTCTTAAATCCCTTAGCCATCCACATACCGCAGCTTTTTCAGATCACTGCCCTGGCAAACTCCCCGGTTCTGCCTGGCACCTGGTGCCATCCCCTGCCAGCTCTGCTTGCTTTCATCTCATCCCACAAACATTTCTGTGCCTTCCCCTGCTCAAGCACTCTTTGCCTGCAATCAGCTCTTGAAGCTCATTGTTATTTATTATTACTCCCTCTCCCTCTTGCTTGTCCTCTCTGTTCTACTCTGTCAAAGACTGTCATGTCTTCCACACACTCAACTACAGAACCCTTCAATGCCTGAAAGAGAGGAAAAATATTACATTTAAATACCACCAAACATCCATTTCCAAGCCAGTGCCTCTCTTTCTAAAACACCTGGCTTTCTACCAAGCATTTAATTTCCCTGCTTTGCTTCCTTTCACAGTCCTTCACCTGCCAGTACTCACATTATACATTTCTTTGTGCTTAATCATTTCCTGCTCATCCCCTTGGCTCATACTTTCTCTCTTGTGTTTTTCAGTGAACGTGGCAGGTTACTACCAGATCTTGTTCTGCCTGAGAACAACCTACCTCATTCCAGAGGATAAACAAAGAACATGGAAATTAAAATTCAGGAAGACAAAATCAGAGAGATAGCACTGACGTTTTTTTCCCCACTCTCATCAGCAAGTGACATTTGGAAAATTTCCACCAATTCTAATAAACAACGCAAATTTGTCCCAGTTTGCTAAGAAAGCAAAGCTTGTATGATCACACCCTGCCAAGCAGCTCCATCCTAACCCCTTTTATAAGTCAGTATCAAACAAATAACGCCAAGGCAGTGAGACTCAGGGGTTGTGTGTGCTGAGACACAGAGCAGCCCAATCAGCATCTCCTGCACTGTGGGATGCAGCAGGAGCTGGCCTGGCCAGCAGAGCAGTGCGGGGCACCCACCAGCACACCCCTCCCTCAGCTCCCTGCTCACACTGAAAGCATCCGAGGGTCAGCTTTCATTATTTCACCCAACACCAAGCCATGGCCTGCTGCACCTTCTCCAGACCCCCTTCCAGCACCAGATTGTTAGGAACGCAACTCTGATGCACCACTTTCTGTAACACTGATGAAGCATTTTTCTTTTTGCCTACCCCCAGCCAGCAAAGGAAAAACCTGCTCTGTACCTTTTTTGAATGATACTGGGGTTTGCAGTCACCAGTTGGGTTTTGGATCCAACGTCCTTGCTGTACTCACTGGACAGAGGAGGAAGGTTGCACCTGCACACAAACACAGCCAAGAGTTTAGGTGACACTCAGGACTGACAGGCTTCAGAAAATGTAGAAACCATGTATTACTGCACCAGGCTACAACTGCTCCCTACTGTACCACACCTACAAGCATTTTTGTACCAGACTGTGGGGAAATACAGAAATAAAACCTTTTGCAGAGATGAGATCTGTGTAGCTGCTAAGGAAAACCAAAGGCATGCACTTGACATTTCTGACAGGCTGTGGAAGAGGCTGTTACTATCTACAAAAGAACTTTTTTTAAAAATCCAAACTCTTTACAAGTTCTGGTTTTCACCCTGTTTTGTCTTGTTTACCAGTATCAGGCTTCAGATTGATATTACCACTCTGTGGTACTGCAGGCATTATCTAAAGGCATTATCTAAAACTGGCATTTTTAATATGGCACTCTGGGGTACCATCACCTTATAGAACTCACTGAGAAAACACAGAAGAAAAAATCAGATGGCTTTTTAGACACGTGTATCTGAGTTCTGCTCACAATCTTGTTCTGGTGGGCAGGGTGAGGATGGAATAAAGCCAAAGCAATTGAGCAAATTTACTTTGGGAAGCAGAGAATCAAGACTCAATAAACCAGAAGTAGAGGGAAACATCCACACAGTGAGCAGTCCTAAAAACCCCTTTGTAAAGACCTAGGGGAAGGAGGAAGGTGCAGGAGACAAAGATCAAGATACATTCAAACAGTATCCAAGCCTGTGCACTGCCCCAAAAATTAGTCAGGAGAAATCTACTCAATACATGGAAGTTGCACTAAAAACTGGTTTCCAAACGCTATTAATTTCAGATTTCTCCTTTAAGACAAAGACATGAAGAGTATTTGGAATGCTTAAAAGGCAAAAATGAAATCATGATTCTCAAAGACAAGCAGAATTTGGATTTTTTTTTTTTTCAGAGAATGGCTTTCAGAATGTTATTGGGGTTTTCTCTCTGCAGTTTTTTTTAAGTTGAAAAAAACCCAACCAACCAACCCAAAACCAGCCAACCAGCAAAAAAACAACCCAACCAAAACCACAGTGGTGCTCTATCAGCCTCTATCTGCACATAAACACCAGCTCTCAAACCCTTAAATTGTCATCATCAAGCAATGCCAAGGAAAAGGACAGCAATGTCCTAACTACATGAAACATAATGAATTAAATCACATCCACCAAGAAATACAGAATTTCCAGGAATATTTTCTCATTTTCATGACTGTACTTGTTAAGATGTGCACAATGTATTGAAATATCAGACAGGAAACAGCTTCTAGGTCACTGTACCACAAATTAAGAGAAGCTAGAGAAATTCAAAAGACAGAAAAAAAAATCAAAAGAGTTTTCAGAAACTGCAGTCATTGATGGGAAAGGAAAGGGCCAGAAGCTTAGGGAAATTTTAATTCTCAAACATAAATTATAAAGCCTTCAGAAAAAGTAAAATAAAAGTCAAACAAATATTTGTGAAGGAAGATTTAGAGCTGATTTGCCCTAGGGCAGAGAGGTGGCATGATATCTCTGGCAGATCACAATTTAATGCTCCGTGCTTTGAATAGCCACAAACTCACAGGGCACACTTTTAAAAAGCCATTTTTGGTTCAAGCTGATTTAAAAGCACTATGAAGAACTAAGACCTCACTCTAGTTTTTGTCATCTCAGCATCTAGATAATGGCAATTCTTGCATAAGCCAGTCACAGATGCACGATTTCAACACATCATCAGTAAGTCTGATTCCCACCTGAGAGAGAGTGCAGGAAACACTGAGCAATGGGCTGAGTATCCACAGCAAACTGCAGGAAATCTGTTACCTGATCTTCCCAGTTATTTTCTTGGATTGGTCAGCAGAGTGCTGAGTGTTCTGCAGGTGAGGAGCACACTGAAGCACAAAACCCATCCTAAGAAATTTTATTTTTATTTCTCTTACTGTTAGATCCGGTACTGAGAAGTAAGTACATGAAAACAGAGTTAAAGACATGGCTTGGGACTACTAACCAACACCTTTCTCTTAAAATAAGCATTAGGAGGTAGGGAGTGGGGAAAAACTGGCTTTTTCTTTGAAATAAGAATTACAAACTTGAAAATCAGAAGAAGAGCCCATTACAACCACAATGCCTAAACATGGGGACCATATGCACCTTTGTCACTGCACAGGCAGCTCGCTATGCCTCAGGGGCTGAGAACTGCTGCTCTTCTCATCTCTGTGTTGGAACAACTGTGCTGCTAGGAGATGCTCAGCAACCAGATGAGTCTAACTCATTAAATACCCTTGGCAATTACAACACATGGCTGCAGCCATCTTCTCTCACTGGACAAAGCTTATGGAAATACACATAAGTGAAATAAGAATTCACATGAAAGGAATTAACAAACAAGGGCAAAACCTGGCAGGACATTTCACACTGCAGAAACTCTTTGAAGACATTGCACAAATTTTTTTTAAAAAAATGAGAAGTGTTATGGAAGTCACTATTGTGCTCCCTCTCAGTTCTCAGATTACAGAAATGAGATTTAGAAAAGATCAACTAAATTTTCCATTAGAATTATTTCATATCGCTAATACCACAGAGCCTGCACACAGCAAATGGGATTCTAGCAGGATTCTCCCTATCACTTATTTCTAAATCAAAACAAGCTCTGCACATAGAATGGCTGCTTTACCCTCCCTGCAGAGAAAGAGGGTTTTATGATCAAGCTAAAATAGCTGCTGTTTTGTTGGCTCTTTTTTTTAAACGTCTGTTGTTTTTGTAACTGGTTGCTCCTACAGCATTTTAATTTCCATAAAATACAGAATGCAAGAATCTGCATGTACACTGCAGCCTCTGGTATTTAGTCTATGGAACACCTCAGGGGTTCTGCAGTAATGGCAATCAGAGTGCTGCTCTCCCCCTGTGCTTTCTATCCTCTCTTCCCTAAGTGCTCCAAGCACATGTTTGCCTTTAATGTGTTCTGTTTCTTTGCATTAACAGGCATTTAATAATGAAGGCATTTTTGGTCTTTGCAAGCCAGAAATTACAGGAATGGTTTAGAGCAAATTTGTATAGTTTTATAATAAGCCATCAGGATGTAATGAGGAGACTTGTTCTACTGGGTGTTCATTATGCATCCATCAGAAAGCCAAAGAAACTCCAGTTCTCATCTCTTGGGAAGCATTCCTCCAGTTTCTCCCCCACAACGTTTCTCTTGTTCATGTTTATCAGGGAGGAACTAATTTCTGTCTTTCTTCCTTAAGGATCACAGACCTACAAAGTGCCAAATTTAATCACAAAAGCAGTAGCAGGTTCAGCATCCCTCCTGACAGGTTCTTGTAAATTGAGGAAGGCTGGAGGGAAAGGAAATGTGAAGAATCACAAAAACCTCAAGAGAAGAAGTTTGGCCTTTCCTCAGACAGCCACAGTTCAGTCTTGAGGGAAGAAAAACAGAGGAGGATTTTGGCTTGCAGCAACTCAAGCCCTGCCCCCTAGATCAGCCCCTGCTCATTCTGAGTTCCATGGGTCGCACAGATGGCATTTAGCTTCAGAGGACAGAGCAGGATGAAGCAGCCTGGCCACCAGGGCATAAATGATGAGCAAAGCAGCTCCTCAGCACCTCCCTGAGACCCTGCACAGGCCCTCACAACTTCAGTGAGCAGCACAGGGTCCCCTCACCCATGTCCCCTTGCAGAACCAAGCCCAAGCTCCTTTCCTGCCTCTCCTCACACTCTGACCCACACTGCTTGTGTGCAGCATCCTGCCGAGGCAGGGCACCAGGGCAGAGACCACGGGCTGATGCCAAGGGAACGGCTCTGGAAAGGCCGAGGCAGAGCAGGTGGAGGGGGACAATGTGCCGTGAGGGCTCTGCCTTACCGCATGACAAAGTCTGCCTGATCGATCTGCTTGCCGCAGCCGCTCCTCTTCAGGATCCCGCCGTTCCCCACCACGGAGCACTTCTTCAGCGGCAGCTGGAAGGGAGTGGCCTAGCAACACAAAACAACACCAGCTTTACACAGGAGAAAAACATCCTCGGAGCAGCCACGCCTGGAGAGCCCAGGCAGCTGTTGGGGCGCGGAGTGACAGAAAGAAAAAGAGAGAATTAGGAGTGAAGGGAAAAAAAAGCACAGAAATGAGCTGGTAAGTACACGTAGAACCAGTCTGATCCCCGCTCCCCAAAGCAGGATGCAACAAACGTGAGACAGAAGATGATTTCCTACAAAACCAAAACTGCCTGGTCCTGAGGCAGAATTGGCCAAAGTCACACAGCTCACAAGCCTTCCAGGCAAGCTGCAAGGACACAGGAGAAACAAGACAACCAGGAAAACAGGACAAACGACCCATGAGAGTGACCCTCCTGAGTGACATACAACAGACACCTCTGAGGAGGAGAGGAAGGGAGGAACAGGGAATGCTGAGATGACACAAGTGTGCTGGGAATCTGGAGTCACCCTGGCTCTCTCCATGGCTGTGTTGCTGGTCAATCCAGAGCCCTAGGCAAAGATATTTGGAGCTTGACAGCAGCTCCTCAAACAGCCAGTTGCCCAGATACATTACAAATTAGTATCAGCATAAATTAAAATTAGAATGGGACCATTTTAGATGTGGAGCTCTTGTAGCTGCTGAACAGGGCGTGAAAATGCAAAGACAAATGGTCATGGGATCCCATGCACCAGACACAGTAAGGTATTAGATCTGCACATCCTCATTCCAGAGGATCTCAGACTATGGATGGACCATGTTCCTGTCAGCCCCAAGCCTCTTGTGAGCATGGGGCAGCACACAGCACTTCAGAACAGCCCAGCACATAAAAAAGCAAGGTGGTGAAGAGACACGTGAATTTAAAGCAGTGAGATTTAGTTACAGAATGTGATTTGTCTACAAGACAAGAGTTAATATTCTCCTCAAGCAAATACAAGTGTGCAGGGATTTTTGTTTACCACACCTGCCACAGGCTGACAGTGCAGCAGGGACAGGAGTGACTGCCCAGGCTCAGAGAGCACGGGTGCCAGGAGAGAGGGGGCAGCAGCACAGAGCAGCTCTCTCTGGGTGGCCTCACTGGCGTGTACACAGCAACATCTGCCACGCTCGTGTATTCACCAGGCACCGCAACACAGGGCACGGGCCAGAAACAGAGCCAGGAATACAGCACACACTCTGCGGTTCTTACAACGTATGCCTGCTGCCTTATTTCTCTGCTTCCTACATTTACTTGCTTGGTCTACCTTTCTCTGCAAACTAGACTCTGTTCAGCTTCCAGAAAGTCACAACTTGCTTTGTCATGAAAAAACTAACTCTGCCTTAAGACATGCTTAAGGAGGAAAGTAAATGTCCGTGTCCTGAGAGCCAGGCACGATAGCACAGCAGAGAAATACTGACTGTGCAGCTGCATTCTTGTCCTGCACCTGCCTTCTCAAGAAGATTTTTTAACTTAACACTTACTGAAGCATATCTTGAGATTCAAAGAGCATCTCATCTGTGAGATGACCCTGATCCAATGAGAACTCACATTCTCTGTAAAGGCACGGGGGTGGGAAGCAGAGGAAATGCAGACTAGATGTGTTCTATAAATAACAGTACCTTTCCTAAAGATACATCAAAGCTCGCCTCAAGACAGCTGGTTACACAAAGGCTGTGCCAAACCACAAAGGCAGCAGACATTAACTCTTGCTTTTAAGGGTAGTGGGCACTGCCACAAATTCTGTGCCTTCAGACCCCCCAAACACACATTTAGCAGTTGTTAAATGCTTCCAAATTCTGTGAGTTGCAGACAGCCTTTAATAGTGCTTGAGATGACCTGCTGTCCTTCAAGGGAAGCTGATTTCCTGTTCTGCTCAGAGATGACAATGCCAGTTCTCACTTGCCTACATACTTTGGTTTCCAGAAGCTTATGAAGTTCTGATACTCTTGTCCTTTTGTTTATCCTGTGCACAGCCTTGCTACCTGGTGTGTACAGAAAATTCCCACACCAAGGTGAGGTAGTTCTGTTTTTTTATTTTAGTTTGTGCAAAGTAGGGAGCTTGGTGGGAACCCACACTTCGTGTAAACAGACAATTTCTACATTTTAACAAACAATGGCATCAACACACATTGGTTCCAGATTACACTCATTTTTCATTAATCAAGCCTTAATTTATTATCTATATCTCTTGCTTAAAATTCTAATTTCTTCCCCCCCATTACTGCTTAGTCCTGGTGACTTCACTCCTAGTGGCTCTCGTCCAAGCAGGCTATTCATTTCAGAATAGCACTCCCTTTCCCTTAAAACAAAGGGTTAGCCAAGCCTATAAATTTCCACAAGTTTCACAATGCAACTACTCAATCACTCCTGCCAAGGTATAGCTACTGATTAACAACAAAATAATTCCCAAGTTTGGATCACATCTTGGACTAGGTATCCCTTCAGTGAGTCTGAGGCAAAAGAACGAGCTCAGGGCTGACAGGGTGATGTGAAGAAGCCAAAGGAAAGCAGAAAGGGCAGATTCTATCATCATGGTGGGTGTCCCTCTGCCTGACCTGTGCAGATCCACCTGCCCTATGCACAGGGAGGAAAACCAGGCTGGACACAGCTCCTGGTGAAAGCCGCCATGCCCACGGACACTCGTGCCTCCCCCAGCACAGCACTGCAGGCTCAGGGCACGGCACAGACACCAGAGCCCACACAGCTCCCTGTAAAACGACCAAGGGCCTCTTCTCCACAGGGGCACCCTGTCACACTGGCTCCAGGCACGGCTCCATGGCCATTCCCAATACTCCCTTTAAAGTGACCAAGGGCCTCTTTCCCACAGGGGCACCCTGTCACACTGGCTCCAGGCACCGAGCACAGGCACGACTCCATGGCCATCACCATTATCCCTTTAAAGTGACCAAGGGCCTCTTTCCCACAAGGGCGCCCTGTCACACTGGCTCCAGGCACGGCTCCATGGCCATTCCCAATACTCCCTTTAAAGTGACCAAGGGCCTCTTTCCCACAGGGGCACCCTGTCACACTGGCTCCAGGCACGGCTCCATGGCCATCACCAGCCTGCAGGGGTGATGCAGCGCCCAGAGGATCAGCTGTCCCTGCTGCTCGGGGGCATTGCAGGTGCTCTGGGATGGCTCAGAGCAGAGCCATTCCTCAGGATGACCTGGGAGAACCCTGCATGTGCCATCTGGCACATGACTTTGCTGTGTCATTGCTGAGACTGCAGGGACATCCCAGGAGCTCTTTGTCCAAGCAAACACAAAACTCTCTGCTCACACAAAACTGACGCAAGTCCTAGACCCAAGTGGTGCCCATAAGCCACTCTGAAATATATATATGGCTTTTTTTCCTCTCTCCACAAAGCCTTCTAATGCTTTCCCTCTTTACCTTCCACATCACAACACTTTGCTAGGCCAATTATCAGTTCATAGGTGACAGTATGCAAATTCTCACATTAAAGGGACCCAGCCGTCATTTATGCTAAATGATCACAAAAACCACAGCTGTTTTTCTCCTCAGAATTCTAAGCTAGCCTAACAAATGCCGGCTTTAGGCAGCAGAGTTGTAACAAAAGCATTTCCACTAATATTAGCTTCCTGAAACTGTTATTTTCATAGTCAACACATGTTATTTTCTTCATTCATTAAATTTGTATGAATGGCCACAGTCTTGCGGGTGGACTGGAAAAAACCAGGCTCAGTTTATTTCCTATGATAGAGAAAATGTACCAGAAACCCACCAACTTATCCCCATTATTAGGCAATAATTACCACAGAATTTCAAATACTTTTAAATAGTAACACCTTGCATATTGGAAATAAGCAGGAGGAATTCCCTTGCAAACATAAGTCAAGCACTTGATTAAATGAATTGCATGAGGAATTTTTAAAAAGGTATTGCCCAACAACACCAGAGCCAGGAAGGCCCCATTGTCTCATTTTCCCCTCCTTAAACAATGAAAGTCCACTGGCAATCAGTGAAGGCATGCTAGCTCATATTCATGTAAGCAAAAGAAGAACCTGCACGTCCCCCTGCAAATTCAATGACAAATAAGCACACAGAGCAATGGATTAAAGACTCCCAATTGAACATGGGACTAATTTAACAAAGCATCTCTCAAGCAATGCACTGATTAGTTTCATCATTCATCTAAGCAGAAATAAATCATTGTCATCAGTTAAAAGAACATTACACATAGTAACAAAAAATAATTCTAGATAATGCTACTCTAAATCACTTTGATTTCATTGTTAGGTTGTTAATGCACTAATTTTGTGCCCACTCACTGCCAAAGACTTTAATCAGAAACCAGGTTCTTACTGGAAAAACAGGAAAATCTTCAGTATTCAGCCTCTGCTTTAATGCTGAAGATACAAAAATCATTGAAAATGCTGAGAACATAAATTAGAATAATTTATCTTTTAAATAAGCCTTTTGAATTGGAAAGATGCTGTGATTTTGCTGTCTCTTTTGAGCAGGCAGCATCACGATGAGGAGGGTGATGCTGTAGTGAATTCCCCAAGGAGCCAGCTGACCCTGAGAGTCCTGGTGCCTTTCCAGCTGCCAGGTGCTGCAGGGTGGCAGCGGCTCCTTCTCCATCCAGGCCACATTTGGGCTGGTGGCCCTTGGTGCCACCCTCAGAGCTGTGAGTCACCAGCTCGGCCGCAGAACGCATCAGTGCCAGGGAAGGTGTGTCCCAACAGGGAAACGGGGGCTCTGCTGCTCCCATGTCCTCCTCTCCAGCCAGGCGCAGGAGCCCGGAGCGAGGAGTGGCCCAGGGGCAGCGGGGAAACGGGCACGGCCGGGAAACGGGCACGGCCCGGGGGGGGAAACGGGCACGGCCCGGGGGGGGGGAAACGGGCACGGCCCGGGGGGGGGGAAACGGGCACGGCCGGGGAATGGGCACCGCCTGTTCCACTGCCTCACCCCCCGCACAGGAATAAATCCCAAATTCCACACACCTAGTCTAAACCCACTGTCTCTCACTGGAACAGGTGGGACTCCGATTAAAATGTGATTATT